TCCTCGCTCTACGACGCAGGGGCCCCCGGTTTTGCATTTACACGCCTTGGTTAAAGCCGCGGACACCGAGCGGGCCGATATGTGGCGGTAGATATGCCCGACGGCCTTGAGCGTATGCAAACTCACGTAAAACGAATGAAATCATCCGCATGCAATTCCGCGTCGCGCATTCGTAAAGCGGTGCGGCGGCACGTGGGCGGGCCATCGATTCCACCAATCTCACATATACCGCTGCCAGTCGGTCTCCTCGTCAGCGTTCGAAATTAATTGAATGGGGCTCTAATAACCGACGAGATTTATTAATCGGCCGGACTGCGGCTCGGAGTGCGGCCTAAACCGCGGATTGCACGCGGCCAATGTTGCATTCTACGGCTGTACGCCGCCGGGAGATCGCGAGAGATTTCCTCGCAGCCGCTAATCGCGATTTTGTATTTGAAATGCATTCGCGTGCCCACGATGCTATTTAAGTATAAATCATCTGTTATTAAAGTCTATTGTTAAATCGCATCTAATTTTAGTATTATTTTAGAGAATTTTTATGTATCTAGCGATAAAATGTATGGCTTTACTCAATGCACCAGTCGTCTCTGTGTTTTATAAAAATTATAACTTCTTACCGCAGCGAGGAAGGGATGATAAATGTATAATTAGCATCGGCAATTCATCGAGTTTCTATAATTCATCGAAAATAAAATAAAATGGAGATTATTGGAATGATTGTTTTTTTTATATCCGTTTTGATTTCCAAACCGTATCGTCTCGAATATCCGGCAATGTATTTTTGACGTAAAAACTACTATCGATGTAGAGTATACACGACCAGCGAAACGCGGTTCTAAAACTTTTCGCGAGGGCCGTTAACAAAAAGCCTGTTGTGCACAGAGCAATCCCTAAAAATGCAGCCGAGCTTTATTTACTTTTGCTATTGCGATTTTTATTGTTATCAGAACACAATTATCTCCGAATGTATAACTGAATATTCGTATAATTTCTCTAACTAATAAAACGCAAACAATGGCTACATGAAAAGTTGCCCATTCGATACAAGAAAAATAAATAGAACTAGATATCGGAATAAATTGAAAAATTGCCCACCTGTCGAAATGCCAACTGTTATAAAATTCGACGATTGTACAATGCCATTCGCCGGCTAATTTGATTCAATGACCAATGTTCTAGTCTCGAGGCGAAAATGATAATAAAATAAAAAGTCATTTCGCAACGTTCCAAAAAATATATATCTTGTACAAATTTTCGTGTACACAATGCAGATAAACGACAATAACTGCCACAGAGTTAAGGCGATGTCCACAGAAAAAGAACTGCCGTTTGAAACGCATTACATTTTGTAATTATGTGCCCTTTAATAGACACAAAAAGTTGCAATTATACAATCATCAAATTCCTCAGTTATCAGGCGTAACAACGACAGTGGGAAGCGTCGTTCGTCGTGACGAATCGCGTCTAAATCGAGAGTCGCTCGGCCGGTGCACCTATTTATGGCAAACCGATAGAACACAAGCACCATATTCCCGCTTGTTTATTTAATGCATGTGAACGACCTATCGGGCGTAAGTGTTCCACAAACAAAGTGAATGGCAGCACGTAGATTGTACGTACTTATGAATGGCGTCAACGGAATATCTGATTACACGTGCGATTAGTTCGGAGACCGGTGTTGTAATGGCACTTCACGGCAACTTTCGACGGATATTAATGCGCCTTTTTACGCGAAACTACGATAGGGGACCTCCGAATCTTCGCTCCGTGATTTATCGTCCCTTCTGGGGGGAAAAACGATCGGGTAAACGTAGTTTCAACGCGTAATTTTCCTAGCAATTTTCTTCGGTATTAATCCTCTCATTACCGAGCTCTCTTATAGCCTTTTATAAAACCGCCCGTAAATAAAAAAAATTGCAAACTTTAATCAAATATTATTTTAACGAATATAATCTTTGACGCAGAGGCGTATCGATGGGAAAAACACTTAATACTCTTATTTCGCGCTTGCATTTACTAATTAATACTCGCTCGTATTAATCAAACATTAATAATACGAGGTTAGGACATTGTGCTTCAAGTAATATTTAATCGCGCGAGCGCGATATAGAATTTATTTTCTACTTCCCTCGCCACTTCTTTCCCCAGCGTGTTTAAATCGCTGTGAGACGTTTCAATGCCCTTGTTACCAAATTCAACACTAAATATTAATACTGTCTTTCGTTACATGAATATGCAATTTCGCGCCGCGCATTCGAGCGAAATCAGTAGCGACTCGGTAGTTGCTGAATGAAAGTTATACAAATGCGCGAGAATTCACATCCCGCACGCCGCAACCTGTCGATTCCGTGAGGAGATTGTAAATACGCGAATCTCGAGGGAAGAATGGGGACACGAGCGTCAAATCGGAACACTTGCGGTTCGAGAGAAAAAAATTATTACAACCACACGCATCGTCTGTGATCAGTGATGCGATACCGTTGCTAAATACACGGACGTGATAGAAAGTCACTCCGTTAAGAGAGGAATTGACTGCCGACAAGTCGAGTTCGCAGATTCGCGCAATACATAAATTATCGAAATGTATTTTCTCCTTATTTTTCGAAGAGTAAATGGCATTTTTCTTTGGAGCACTTTCTAAAATGTCCATTTAGAAAGCGCGAATTTTCGTCGCGCCATGTGACATCAAATATTTTCTGCGAAAATTTGTATCAATAAAACTGCCAATCTTCTAACAGAGGAGGGAAAAAAATTGTAGAATGATCGAGTTCGCAATCAGTTTCATAAACGCGCGGTAAAACGAATTTATTTCGAAATAATAGAAAGCCTTCAGCGCGATTCATTCGCGGAATATAAGAGCTTCTCTACGTGCATTCGGCCTCTCATTTTGCACATTTACATCTCTGCAATAAGTTTTATTTCTGCTGCGTATTTTACGCGGTGGTTCATAAGGTAAAGTGCGCCAGAATAATGTATTACAGTGGAAAATGAGGATATTTTCGCCATTATTTTCAAGTTAAGTAAAGTGCCCATAATTAAATTTACAATTCCACGTGTAAAAGTGTACATATGTATAAGCCCGACCTGTACATTCTCTGAATGTATTTTGAAACAGAAAGCAGGATATATGGCCTTATCGAATCGAGGACATATTCAATTAATTTCGCAATGATTTGTTTGAGTTAACATTTGTGTTCGAAATAGAGAAATAGATGGATGGATGGAGAGAGAGGGGGGGGGGGTGAGAGAGAGAGAGAGAGAGAGAATCGTTCAAACTTTTGCATCGCATTGTCATTACGAAACTACCACGGTATGACGATATCGCAGGCGAATTTACGAGCGGTCGCGTGCTGCAGTTTCGACTTGGTCGCCGGTCGTTAACGTGCAACTCGTGCATCAGCATTAACCGCGGCATACCGACACAGGGCCGTCGGAAGGGACAGGTGCATTGTTAACGTTGGCTCGCAATGAGTAACAATAGCGGAAGCCACCCCGCGAATTAGTCACCGCAAAATGTTTCACCGCGCGCGAGCGCCGTGATTAGGCGCAGGTGTAGCAAGTCAAACTGCCCAGCGTTTGTTTCGGAAACGCGCGTAATCCGGCATTGCGTGATCTCGGCCTCGAGTTTGCTCACGTTCGCGAATTGAACATCGTAAACAGCGGCGGTACGCGACAGGTTTCTCTATTTGTGAAAGAAGGAAGCTGTTGCGCGGTTGAAGATAATGAAATTTATAAAATTTCGCAACACGACAACGGCGAATTTTAATTTAGTCGCGAGGAATGCCGGCCGAAAATACCGACCATATTTTACCTTGAGATTTTTTTTTTTAATGTAAATAATATCGCATACTTTCATAGTCGCCCAAAATTAGATACAGCAATACCCAAGGAAAGTATCGTTATCAAAATAGAAAATAACGAAGTAACCCGTATCGCCGATATACGATGTAAAAGCAGTGCATGTAAAACCGAATCGTAAAACGAAACTCTCGCGTGTGTTTCTAAATCCTTTAAAAAAATAAACTCCGCTTTTGTGAGGCGATGATTTATGTAAACATAACAGACGCGATATACAACTGCGCAACGTTGCGTCGAGCGAATGCAATCACGGATCAGTCTCTTGTATATCTCCATCTCTCTCCCCCCCCCCTCTCTCTCTCTCTCTCTCTCTCTCTCTTTTATTCTCTAAATAACGTACATCGAAGTCGATAGGGTCAATTGTCAATATTTTCTGCTCCGCTAGCGAACACAGCGATTCGTTAGGTTCATGTAGATCATTCGTTACGGATATATCTCCACATTCAACTTTGCGAGATATATATATATATTTTGCAAACCGATGTGTAAAAAAATTCCAATAATTATATTGTTTCCATTTAATTCTCTGGGCTTTTCTGAAAATGTACACTTTACGTTTAATATTTAATGCACTATGACATTTGTGACACCCTTTCGGCAAATAAATATGAAACTCGTGCTCCGGCACGCTCAATGTAACTGCAACATGTTGCACATATCGTATTAAATGTTTTATTAATATCCCGTTTAAAAAGTATGCTAATATCTCTACATTAAAATAGGACAATTATTCTTAAGATAGAGCGAAAGCCTACAGCGTGAGATTTTTCTTATTATTTCCTATTTCTTATTTTATATCCCATTTAAATAAATACGCAACGTGTCTCACACTACGCGCATATAGTGAGGATTAAAGTCTAAAGTCCTGATTAATATTGAAAATCGTACTTAATGGTCGAATTGTAAACGATCGAAGTTGATCAATGGTGTCACGTAAAGTTCGTATAAAGTATAATTCATCTCCCACAGATACGGCGCGCAACAGCGGCGTTTTGACACAAACAACGTGGAACTATAATGAAATATGAACGTATCCGAATTATAGCGACACGTCCAAAATAACTAATATTTCACGAAGTGTCGCATGAAGTAATCATAAACGATCAATTCGGCAGGCAATAAAATAATCAATAATAAATTACTTGGTCGTTGGACGTCATCCCAGGCCTCTCCTCTCGTCCCTCTGTTTTCTCCTTCGTGGTACACACGACACTCGCGAAAATATGGCAGATTACGATCGCGCGAATATTAATCGCCCGAATATTTCTTGTCACGCCACGTGATTAACGGAGTCGAGTTAACAGTCGGTTCGGTAGAGTCGATGCATTTCAAAAACACACACCACGATGTATATCACTTCCCGTTACTCAAATTGTTCGATCCGAACGAGCGATTCGGATTCGTTGCTCCGCGAGTTAACTCCGAAAATGATTGAAATAAATCACGTTTAAGTGAGCGAAACGTTCATCCTCCCCCGACTCCTGCACGAGATAGATGGATCCGCGCAAGACGTCCATTCGATGAACAAACCCGTCGTCTCACACACACACACGCGAATCGTCAGTCGCGGAAATCGCTCGGTCGCGGTAGAGAATGATCGCGATCCGATATCGCTCCGCGGCCTGTCGCGGTCGCGTTCCGAACAATAATGCGACGATACGCAGGAGCAGCGTTCGCCGCGCCGGGTGGCGTCTCACTGAGCGAATGATAGCGCGGTGACCTTGCGTAAACACAACAGCCGTTACGCCGCGCAAAAACAAGCCGCCGGCTCGCAAGCCACCTCTGTGAAGTTGGCACCTCATGTCTCAAAAAATCTTTTTTTTTCAGTTCTGAATGCACCCCGAAGAGTTCTAGAGTTCCTTATCAATTTTAAAAAATAAAATCAATACCACTTGAAAGAACTGTAGGAATCACCGAAAAATAATAGATCGATGCGCGTTCAACGACCAAGTAATTTATTCATATAATTCATGATTACTTCGTGCGACACTTGGTAAAATATTAGTTACTTTGACCGTGTACGCTATAATTGAAGGAACTACAGGAATCAATCAAAAATAATAAATCGATGGCGTGCAACGATAACTGCAGGTCCGCATAAAGCGACGTCGTTGGTTTTTAATTACTTTTTTAGCTCAAAGGCGATTGCACTGTCAACGACCGTTCGACTTCAGGACTTTTAATATTAATTAATCGTGGAAATGCGCTATTAAAGTATTGTGCAGCGGTTGCGGAGCATCTCGTACATATTCAGAACTACGATTAAAAAATGATTTTAATAGCATACCGTTACGCGCACCGTCGTTTCTCGCGTTTTGCTTGTGGCAGTGACAAAGCGCCTGTAGAATTAAGCGAACGAAATGGTTCGCGATGTGAATAATGACGTCCTCTCTTCACGTACGCATTTCGCGTTAGATTTAATTAAATTTCCCGTTGTGTTAGAACTATCGTCTTTACTTCCGAGTACCGTCGCGCTTGCAAATGTTACACAAACACGCGCGAACGATTCATAGATGCAAATTCGGACGAAATTCCAAAGCCCGCCGTTGTGACATACCCAGATCGATTTTTCTCCTTGACCGTTCCTTAATGCAATCCTTTTCTTTTTATTGCTTTTTTAACATTTAGACGCAAAGCTGAGAGCCCCAAGTGAATTTTATCCAGTAGAAACATCGATCTTTCTTATCGAACACGTGGCGTGGCATAAAAATTGATGTTCCCCATTAAACTTGAATATGACGAGCTTCTTGCTTAAAAAGTATCTCAAACTTTATCGATAATCTAAGGATGAACCACCAAAGAATCAATTTCCAAATACATGCGCGCCGAGAAAATTAATATCCCTCGGCGAGGGCAATCGTCGCATTGTAAACGTCGAAATAATAAATTCGCTAAAGTTATTACATTCTCCGTATCCCAATTTTTATTTCCCTCGCGACGTCACGCCAAAAGATGTAACACCATTAATTCATATTACACACTTAACGTGGCACGAGTGTCAAGAGCACGCTGCTGTCAGTGGCAATGACGTAGCTTTTGGTGCAAGCGGCGATTAGGCGAACGAGAAGCCCACCCGATGCGGCGTGCTCGCTTCACGAGAGGGAACGGAACAGTGACGTTTTGTCGGGCTTATCATCGACGCAGTGCGCACGCATGTACGCACGTGTGTGCATGACGCCGATAAGGGTCGTGGCACTCGAGACGCAACACATTCGCGATTATCATTCGCGCGAACATAATCGTCTGTCGACGCACACGCAATTTCGTTCGTGCCGCTTATATAAATCTGTTTTTACCCGACAGCCCGGGCGTCCCCGGTTTTCCCAGCTGAAAATTGCATGTTAAATTTTATGCCTGCACCTGAGCTATATAATATAAACACGGCTTGTTTATTTCCGCCATCTGCAATACGCGAAATTGAGTCGGTCGATAGCGACATGGACGCGCCACTAACTTTACCACTTTTTTTTCCTCGTTTAAACCCGCTTTACGCGATCCATAATTCACGACAGAATTGCATTCGCAGTTTTGTATACCGCGTGCGATGCATATAAACATTTTCAATGCTCGAAATCTGAAAAAAAAGTCTATAGCATAAAATTTTTCCCATTTTTTAATAAAGTAGCAAACTGTAACGTAATAAAGAGCCTACCATTGCCGCTCGGATAGTCTATTGATTATCAATTGAATGGTATAATTCAATTTCCCGAATATAGAAAAAGAGGATATTTTATTGCCCGCAGTAATATTGCGTGCGTTCGTTATATCATTAAAAGACGGCTGCTCTTTCGTTGTACGTATTGCAGATAGAATTATTATAGGTCGTGTAAAATACGTATCGCGCCCAGACCTTCACATGCGAACGCGTATTGAGAGTGCCAGGCAATCACGACGAATTTACCGGCAAACGGGAGTTCATTTCGACGTGAATTTATATTCAACGACCGATAAGTTTGATTCGCGCATAAATCGCACGCCGGGCATATACTCGTCGCATAACTTGGCGGTAATTGAGTCTTCCGTACTGTGCGTAATGCAGGAAAGGGTCACCCTGTGTAGATTCTAGTAATACAAAATCGTGTTACAGCTCGGCCGACGATGCGCATGATCGGCATGCAATTTCAGCGCCCATACACGCCGCCAGCAACACGCGCAGCTGCACATAACTTTTTATTGTACTTTTCGTTTTGCGTTAACGTCGAAATGATCGATGCGGTCGTTACATATGAAGATACGCGCCGTAGGAACGGCCGAGCTGTTTTCCAATATAGTTTTCAATGCGATCGAAGCCATGGTAATTTACTGTAAAATCTTATCTTTCTCGGTTCTTTAATCGCAATATTTTAGAATACGATTAACCTGCGTTTCCGCAGGTTTCGCGATAAGGTCCCCCCCTTCAGGCAAATCTGATTTCTTAAAGTCCCTCGAGCACCGCTCGTCCGAGACACGAGATAAAAAGTAAGAAGCGTGTACGAGCGGAAAAGATGTATCATATTTCGCGACATTGCAATATCTTCGCGAGATGTATCTACATTTTCTTAGAGAAGAAGAATTACACCTTTCCAATTCTTTCCCTACGATTTCTCTCGTGTCCTCCTCCTTCTCTCATTCCGATGAAATTACATATTTATTTTAAGAAGCTGCTGCCACGCATTTTTCCTTCAACCGAAACGTAGATGAAAATTTATTTTCACTCGTACGCTCGTACAAAATTCAAAGGGTTCAACGCAAGAACGGCACCGAATGTGTTTCATAAGCGAACGAAAATGTACGTAAAAATCCCGATTGCGACAATCGAATCTCCGCGCGCCTGAGATTCACTTTTGTCGCCAATCTTTCCGCTTCGTTGACACCGAAGAGAACGACAAGTTTATGTAATAGCCCGGTCTTAGCATTTACGCCTTTCAAATGTCGGTGTTGGCAATGTTGCATATTTCATGCATTTTTCATCAGGTTTTTATGCAATATCGCCATGCAAACGATACGAAGCGCACGAAAGAACCAAGAGTGTACCGGCGATATAGCTTTATGTAGCAGACCGTAAAAAGCGGCTCTCTTCGTCGATGGATTGACAATCTATCGTGCCATTTATTCCTATTCTTTGTACTTGATGTCGCGCGCGAGGATTTTCTGCCTTTGTATACATATATATATATACATATATGTATATTGCGAAATATTTCTACCCCTGCATGCAGCTTTGCGCGAGTGTAAAAGTCAATGGCCGATCAACAAACCCGTTTATTTACGATTGAATGCAAATAATTCAGATTAAAACAATTGAAGCGCCAACAACTAAATCAGTTTTAATTCCCGCTTTGTGAATGGCAAATATTTTCGTCAAGAGAGACGAGAGGGCGCGCAAGATTTTAGTTGGCTGGAGATTTTAAATTTAAACCCGTGGTCCCGCGTCGATGCATAAATGAAACCCGAGCCGAGTTAGACCCCCCCGGCAGCTCTGGTGGCGAGATCGATTTATTTACGGGAAAACTTAGTGTCTGCGTCGACGAGATACGAAACTTACGACATAGACGAAAGGCCGAAGACTAACAAACCAAGGTTCCCAACGGCTCGAAACCCGATCTCGATAAGTGTTCACGTGTTGATACGCGCCAACTGACGTGAGATGAAATGCGGATTTTTATACGGGAGAGTGCACGAATCCGCGGGGCAAATCTAGGAGATATTACCGTGCGACTTGAAAAACGCGCGCCCGTGTAGGTGCGAGTCGCTTCATAACGCGGGGAAATGAATATTTTCCGAAAGGGAAATGTCCGGATGTGCTGGCGCTTTAGCCGGGCACCGATTAGCATGCAAATGCCTTTAAATATTTGTAATCTCCCCGAAATGGCCGTAAAAGCTGCGTATAATAGGAGCGTAAAAAGGCGCACTTGAGGAGTGCTCGTGATATTACAGGCGTGAATTGTAAACATTCGTAAATTGAGGCTTGACGTATCAACTATCCGCGAACGAATCGCGCGCTACGTTAAATATTCGCGTTAGCAGACGAAGAGTCTACTTATAGAACGATTTATTTTAATACCGCGCGTTACTAAACAATATTTAGATAAATGAATTATGTTACCCTATGTATTAGAACTTTCTCGAGGGCGCAACGGTTAATACATATTTAGTATGAAAAATGCATAAAAGATGAGGCAAATGCACGACGATAATTAAGTGGTTTACCAAAGCATTATTCAGACAAGTAAACGAGTGTTTACAAGCCAGAAATCTTATGTTAAGTATAATATACTCGTGAATGAAGGAGAAAGAAAAATCAGCTGGGGTGTGCGAGTAATTTTCAAAAGAAAGAGAAATCAAGACACTCAAGACGGAAGCGTATTAAATGGTTAGACATATTTTTTATATTAGACTTCTATTGCCTGTTTACAGCGTCCTTATTGTTTTACAATAGAGATCGAAAATCGATGAGGTATATTGTCGATGAAATAACCGCGGAAAAGAACGGCACAATGGGCGATACAAACGGATGAGCCCTTTGAGGTAAAGAGACGCGGCGATTAAACGATAAATAATTTTCAACGCATTTCTGCGCGATATAGGTGCGACAATTGCGATATTGAGGACGCAATTGACAGATCGTTAAATAATTAATCGATTAACGGAGCCGCGTGTGAATATCATCCGGAGCTTCGAACCTCGCCCGATTCTATATTTAAATTCCGCTACGGTTTTAACGCAATCGCGTCGTATCGCGTTGCATCTCCGACGAACTATGGCGAACGAGGCAACGTGCTTTTCCATTTCCTACATTCAGCGACGATCCCCGACTGGGTATA